TCCACCAATGAGGCCCTTCATAAACTCTTGGCTCTGAAACATGTGGTCTTCGTCGATTGTTGTTATTCGTAGCAGGTCCCAGAAATTAAGTAGCGCCTTGAGGAGGCTGCGCATTTCCTCCGGCTCGTACGCCTCACAGTAGTTGGTTGGAAGCCAGCCCCTGGCGCCTGATGTTAGAAGTGTTCCGTCTGCCCACCCGTTTGTGTGGATTGAGTGCACCAGAACGACGTCTCCTTCGTCTAGTGGTAGAGTAACGCTAGAATCGGCCATTGCGAGACTCGGGTGAAAAGGATAAAAGGCGCGGAGGAAGTTGTGGAAAACGGGCGGCATATGGGGCGCCGGTACGGAGGAGAGGTCCTCTTGCGAGCCATTGGGGGTGACTGGTGGCGTCATTTGAGAGCGAAGATGTGAGGTTTCCAAACTTGATTCGCCTTTGGGAGTTTGGTTATTTGAGGACGATCCATCGCCGGCCTCTTCAGGTCGAGGTTTTGTGAGATCCAGAGGAGCCACCTGAAGGCTCGCTCGTATACGATTGTCGCTCAGCATTGGGAGGGCCAAGGACACTGGTTGTTGATCAGGTCATCGGATAACAGTCTCTCTGTCTAAGACCCAGCGCTCAGCGGCCGGTATCAGATGAAGATGTAAACAAAAGCCGGTTAATATCGGGTTCTGGGGAAAATCACAGCGGATATCCAATAGTAGGGAAGTAGGTGGTGGAGCTGTCTGGGTTGTGTGCCGAGAGAATTAGAAGATTGCAAATTGCAGATTTGGAAATGGTCCAGACTAGTCGCCTTGTAGATGTCGTTGTTTTGGTGTTTGATGCAAGGCTGTGCTGAGAAGAAGCTGAAAGAGACGTGGTCGTGACGAGGCTCAGGAGCGACGAGCTGGTGGCGCAGGGGAGCTCCTGAAGTGGCCTTTACTGTGGTATCCGAACGTGATGGATCGAACTGAACTGCGTCATCAGCAAAGTGCACCATGCCTCGGCGATGCTATGTTGTGGCAGGCAGAGCCTGGCCGTGGCTGGAATGAAAGGAGGTCGTGATGGGAGGCGGGGAGCGGAGCCAAGCAGGAATGAACAACACTTCATTCGCCCGGCAGCTTCCGTGACAACACGATGCTGGCGATGGCGGGAATGGCGGAGGCGACCAGCAGCTCCAGGGCCACAGAGCGATCGTGACGCCGCCTTACACAGCAATGCAGCCGTGTATGTTTAGGTGTTTTTTTTTTTTTGTTCTTTGTTCTTCTGGGGGGCTCGTGCTGGAGATGGGAGTGCTGGGGAGCTAGCGCAGGGCAGGTGCTATACCACTGGCAGTAAAGAATACGCGGTACATGTACTCACAGACTCAATTGATGGCTGCAGCCAGGCATGGACAGGCCCCAAGCGATATTGCGATGAGAGCCAGTGCGTCTGTCCGCGAACCGATGAGCCGCTGACTCGAGCGGTTCGATGCAGGCAGAATCGAGATCAGAGGCCAGACTTTGGGGAGAATCGGAATGCAGGACTCGCCATGCACTGCGGCGATCCGCGTCGGGTGCGCACGAGCAGGGTTGGCCGTTGCGCAGGGTTCGTGCAGTGGGCGCAATTCAGTGTCTTGGCCCCGTGGCCCAGGCGCTTCCCGGTGTACTTCGTACCTGGGAACGAACTGCTCCCACGTTTTTGCTCCAGGCGACGACGAGAGGCCTGCGGTGGGTTGCTTTTTCTTAATCAAAGTCTGGCGGCCACTCCGTAGCTTGATACAGCAGCCTCTTGTGAGTTCAGTCCTTTTGGCGTTTCCCACCCTTGGATCGCTTCTCTCAAATTTGTCGTCGTCCGTCCGTCCGTCCGTCTGTCGGTTTGATTTTGCTGATTGCTGATTGCTGAACGCTGATGGTTGCCGCAGCTCCAAGCCAATGTTCGTTTCGTCTTTCGTGCTCAAGCTCAAAGCCACAAAGCAGCGTCCTTTCCAACCAGTGGGCAGCGAACAGTATTCGTACAAGTATGTCCAAGTCCACACATGGGTGAGGGAATCGAGAAGGAAGAAAAGCTCAGACAGCCGTCTCTGAGTCTGGCAGCTCCGGGGAGGCAGCTGTTTATTGCTTGGAAAAGCTGGATCGGTGCGTGTCCATCCGAGCAGCTACTTTGTTCTACCCACCCAGCATGTTCCGCCTCGCCACCAATCACTCGGCCCCTTTGGCCAGTTCGTCACCTCCAAAGGCGTGTGCTGCCCAACTCGTATCCACGCCCCTAGATGCTGTACATGTTTGATGCTGTCTTCGTCACCAGAGGCTAATGTCCCTTGCCCAGGGTCTCAGAGTGACAGCAGGACGGGCAGCAGCAGCAGACTTGCACTAGATGGCTCGGGGACAAGGAGAACCGCCAGAAGCACACCAAGCGCCTGCGCTAAGAGGTCAATCCGCAGGGGTTTTGATGGACTGCCAAGGACATGAGCAGGGATACATGCAGGGGTTTTGCAGAGGTCTCCTCCGGCATCACAAAGTGGCCCCTGCCCACTCTTGGTCCATGCTCTCAAGCTGTCTGGCATAGCACCAGCAGCAGCATGTCATTGTGCAGTGGCGTCTCCCGAGGCGACGGGAGCAACGGTCAAGCTGAGACGCAAATTGGCCAGTGGAAACATGGCAATGCGCCGCCGCCGCTTCATGGGAAACGCTGCTCTCGCAGCTCTGAGTGTATCTCGTTTTGCATCATGTTTGATGTCAGATGAACGCTCAGGCAGCTGGCTACGAGAGCTTTTAGAGTTCGCCTTATTATGCTCCCTACTCCACACGAGCGCCCCGACTCCAGGGCGCAATCATAGACACAGATGACCACCTAAGGAACCTTACTCTGAATTGCGCCACAATAAATCCGATGGTGGTGTCAAATTATGGAGTCAATTGCTATCAGATTCATGCTGCAGGGAGACATCGGTCAAGCCCCTAGGTATTGACCACCATTGTAAATCTTTTAGTGCTCTTACTTCAACTTTTCGTTGAAAACAGCCTTCCTCCCTTTACGATCAATCAGTTTTCTAACCAATTAGAGAAAGAAAGACGCTGTCATTCGGAAGTTGCAGCTCCTGTACGGGGTGCTCTCCTCCTCAAACTAAGGAGTGCGATTTCGTATCGTATTTCAAATTGCTGACCTACCAACAACCACTAGCCATAGGCTGGCAGACCGGGACCCTGTGGGATGCAGCTGATATCGTCTTTTTCAGAAAAGAAAGGAAGGGAAAAAAAAAAAGGGTTCATTGACAATGTTGCTATGAGCAGCAGCAGCGTCCAACTACTTGTACTACAATTACAAACCACTAGCAGAAAGCCCTTGCGTTAATAACAGTTAATAACCATCAGATGTCAGCCACCGCTGGGCTACAGCAATTGCGGATAGCAGCAAGTTGCTAGAAGACATTTAGTTCACCAAAAGTCTTGCCTTGCGAGCCATTCTATTCTCAAACGCACGAGGCAGACCTTTAAAAATTACCCTTAAGAATTCTTTCAGCTAATATTATCTGGTACAGGCACCTAGAAGCATCCCCGTTAGTGCGGGTTTACTTCGAGCCATGACGCCCAAGACAGACTGAGATCTATACGATATGTCTTACAGCTGTCTCGCTTTTTCCATATCGTGGCGAAAAGGGAGAAGGCATACAATTTTCAAAGACAAAAGAGCATATACTGTTAGTAATTGGATTACAAGACACCTGATCCATCTGTCAGCCCACAGCTCTGATTTGTGATTTATCGATTTCTGACAAGTGTGCCGCATCCCCATTATTCTAGGTTCAGTAGTGTTGCTCTGCTCTGACACATATCATGATGGTTCTACCAGCTTCATACTACGAGTGCAAGCTGTATGTACAAATACGTCAGTTCTGGCAGAATCTCATTTTTATACCACGCCTAGCAGCACCTCTAGAAAACTTTCGAAATGGTCATTATCCTCATGATCCACGGCTTATCTTTGACACACAATACGAAACATCCATGCTGGAGGGAGTCCGATTAGGGCAAATTATGGCATGGGGTCGATACCAAACATTTACCACTCCGCGCTCGTCTCTTGTTTGGCCTATTGGTAGATCTCTTGGAGGTGACGGCATCGCCTCAGCCTTCCCACTTACCTATTCGTTCGCGATAGCTCTGGCTCCATAACCTTATGACATGCTTTACTTGGTGGGCTAGTAGGCTAGCTGGCTCTCAGGGTCAAATGTCCCTGTGCGCTCCCCTTTCCTATTCCGATTTCTCTATCAAGGCCATTTCCGGCCTTGGGTTTGCCTTAACCCATTGTGGCCATTCAGAGTCACAGAGTCAACAGCCACCCTGCTTGAATTTACGACCCCCTGCTTCTTGGCGGGTCAGACCCATCGTTCAGAAGCGAGCAGTTCAAGGGTCAAATCAGAAGCACTAACGTCTCAGCATTTTCCTATGCTACAGTACTATGGCGCCTAGTAGCGCTCCCCAATCTCATCCACGTGCCGGACTCGTGGAAGCAACGAGAATCAGTTTGTTGATAACTTTTTCCCCTTGAACGCAACATACGTCTATACTAATCTGATGAATGAGTCAGTGTCTTTGGCATAAACTATCGCCACCCAATCGGACAGCAGTATACCATAGCGCAGTTGTCACCAAAGCTCAGTCCTCACCCAAATTCCCAATACGGCTCTCCTTCTTCCTTCCCCGTAGTCCATAAATAGGCAGGCAAGGTAGGTATACCATGCCGCTTCCCGTGTTAAGATGACATGCCCCGTATTCTATACTCGTGGGGTACGGGATATCATTTGCATAGGACTACACGTGCGTACCATGGGCTAGGATGCCCCAATATCTGCTAAACGAGGCGGCGTGAATGATGCATCAATGACATTTGACAGCTTATCATCATCTTACAGCTACTACTACTACATAGAAGGCGTACACGATTGCCTACCGTAAGAGCCAGCTAGTTTGGCGGACACCATACGCTATTTCCAGATTAGACCATGGACTGACAAAATAATCACAGCCTGCCTATACGAATCATGGCAACCGACAACGCTGTCTTTGCCATTGGCATTCCTAACGTCAAGCGCCGGCTTTGGTTTACGATTGACCGGAAATATCCGTCTCGACTGTGGACTGATCCCACGAGCTACCGGCAGTACATGAATGTCAGCCAACTCCCGTCCCAGATCTACGGAGAGCCAGGCTGCCAGGTCCGCTGCTGAGCCGCCGCTCAAGTGCGGAGCTCATAGGCGAGAGCTCCAGGCACTATTGTTACTATCACGTCTATGGCGTAGCGCGTGAGAGCGGCATCGGACATAACGAAGCCGCCCAAGAATGCTTCTCTAGCTTCACCCAGCTTCAATCTCTCAAGCACCACCAACATTAAGCAGTTGTGGTTATGGTAAGCCATCGCTAATATGACCAATGTCACATTGACGTTATTGCGCCTTGGATTACGGGTAAGAATTAGCGGGCAGTTGATATTAGCGGGCTGCTCTAATTTAGAATAGGTACTGTGAGCTTGCATGCTTCTAGCATTGGTATATACTGGGTATAGAGGATCAACACTGCACATCAGGCAGCAAGTCCTGAAGAATAAAGTGAAACATGGTAGACATCCTGAGCCTGAGGAAGGGCCGAGAAGCTCTGGTCGCAATGCTAACTGTAGATTATGACGATCAGGTCCAGGGCATTGTGCCGGATAGTCTCGTGAAGCTAGGATCAACAGTTCAACGCACTAAATCAACCCTCGATGGCATACTATGTATGTGCATCTACCAGTTCATTCTACATTCGAGGCTCATTCTTCTAAGTAGCGTTGCATGCTACATATGAGAAGTTATCAGAAGCGACAGAGACAATGAATGGCTGGGAAGCATCCACAGGGCGCGAAATTGAGTGGACTACGAAAGCTGAGCCCAGCCAGACAACCTCCGATGTGCTTGCAAGATTGACTTGCGGTACCTACGTCTTTATTATGACACACTCAATACCGGGCTAGAATTGATTTATATTCATTCGGCCAACAATAATTATCTGCTACCTGTTATACCCGGCTGTATGCTAACTTGCGACATTAGTCTAGTCGATTGAGGCAACGTCTCTCAAACGCTAGATTCGAACCACGCGGGATAAGAAGCTGAATTTTGAAATGATGCCTGCAGTAATATGGGAAATAGGAGACCGCGGACCATAACGGGCCATACGGATTGCGTTCCGTCCAAGATATTAAGCGACAAGCTTGGACTGGCGCCTTCAGGTGGCGTTGTTTAGTGCTGTCGAAGTTGAGGGTCTGGCGTTGCTACCCTGCTTGTCTGCCGTACCACAGCTCGAGACTCGTCTGAGTCAACGCGGGATTGAATGCATCCTGGGGGCGGAATAGCTGTTGATATTAACGAAATGTGACCTGATATTGAATGAGAAATACGAGCGAGCGGATCAGTGCCTAGAGAATGGAGCCTGTTATCGGCCAGCCACCAAGACATGTCATTCGAAATCAGATCTCTTTTGACATGCTTGCTTGTACAGATCTTAAACTGGGATCCATCCCAGATTCTGAAGCCACGGCTTGGCGGACGAGGGAGTTTTTTTTTCCAACAGGCGAACCAGGGCCGGGCTTTATTTCGCCTATGGAAACTCGATTACAAATTTATCAAAGTCCGACCAGCTTTTCACTCGTCACTTCAGCCGCATCTTCAGCTTGCCTGAGGCTGAGGGCTAATCATTAACACTATTTCGAATGAACCATGTTGATATTCGCTCGCAGTGCAAGCCAGGGCATTCCCTCTGGGCATAGCCAACGCTGCGCCGACGCTTCTTTTTTCTTCCCCAGGCCAAGTTCTTGGAAAGCGTGATGAAATTTACGTGGATTCAACGTGCAGCTTGACCATGGAGACCCGGCCCCTTTCCGATCGACGGAACTGGGATCCGGCCAGAGTTGACAGACAGGTGGGCGTGTTAGTGAAACCGGATACACCCATACCGAAAGCGATGGCAGATGGCTGTCGGAAGAGGCCGATTAGCGTCACTTATTCACATCTCCGCACCAGGATCGCGCCACTACTGCCGCCGATTATGAGACACTTGTACCATTTCCTCAAGATGTGACTGTAAGCTGTTGGGAGAATTTTTCGTGTGAGGAGGCAAGGAAGCTAGAAAATGAGCAGCGTTTCGTACAGAGTCCAAAGCGCAAAGGCTGCCCAGTGGCCCTAGCGATGAGCCCCAACGGCACGAACCAACAGCCGTATGTGCTGCGCCAGGGACGGATGCACGATATAATTGCCCCGAAATGGATGTTACGCCGCTGTTGTCGGCCCGTGAATTTGCATGTGAGCGGTACAACTTGTCTCTTCCACGTCTGCCACTTGCACAACATCTGCATGAGGTGAGCAGGGGACCGCTGCTCACCGGCCAGAGAGTGGCGTTGCCTCAAAACAAAGCGCTGTCCTGAAAAACGCCTCTTACTCTCGGGTTCTGAGATAGCAGCGTTGTACACGTATGTGAATACTACATGGCGTTTCGACTTGTCAGCGGCCCCCAATCTCGTGCCGCAGTGGCCTCACCGGTCTCTCAGCTACGGTCTGTGCTCCATGCCACGAAATGCAGCCAGATGTCTTGTCCGAGACCGCAGTGTTCCGTGATTGGCAGCAACAATATGGAGTACGACTCAGCTGAGGAGAGGGCTTTTGGTTTCAATCCCAACATTTCCTGGCCTCAGACTATTGCTACTACTTGTAGTAGTACGTAATCCCAGCTTTGCCTTTCCCCAGTCTGTCACTTGTCACCTGTCATGTTGGTAACGGGAGCTCCTTGCCTATCTATGCGAATGGCAGCCCATGAACTCGGAGACTTTCCGTCGGAGTTGTAAACCGGGCGGGCATTGATCTGTACTTTATCCGTCACTGTGGGACCAGCTGATCGTTCATGCTCTCTCAAAATTTACACTTGCGGAGTAGGTACTCCGAGACAGAGGCAAATCTGGACTCTGCTGAGCGAAGGGGCTCATTGAGACAGTAGTTTTGCTTGTGGAGAATATCCTCCACTGTGACTCACGATGTGCACTTCAGACGTCTCTGACACTCCCTTTTGATCCTGTGAATCCCTTATCCAGGGAGAGAATTACATTGACGTGTTAGCGAGATAGTAGCCCGACATGTGGGGGACCTTGGAGTCTGAGAAAGAAATGACAGCTGTCATTTATGATTGTGATTCATTGAAACGTTTGGAATATATTGGCTCAAGGAATTAGTCGTAGTAGGCTGCGATATACTATGCACCAGGGTATGAAACATAACTGCTGAAGATTCCGCATGGCGAGTATTCTCGCCTTTTTTCCCTATTTACAGCAATAAAAAGTAACTATACTGTTTAAACTGCCCGTCGAATGTCTGACGTAGTCGCTATTAGTGGCATTAGATGAATATAGATATTTAACTAGTTACATATTGCATATGACTTACACGTATTAGCACCCATACAGGACTTTTTTTCATCTCTTCTTCCAAGCATTCTTGAGTAACGTTTATTCAGCTCAAAAACATTTATGGCATGCTAAACTGTGACTGATTTGTTAATAGAGTCTTTTTTTAGACAATGCAATATGGATTTCCATTGTACCTTCCTAGAGAGACGAGAAGTCTTTGAGATAAAGTACAGGGTTGGGAGCAAACGTACCAAACTCCAGAGGTTTGTTTTTATTAAGATGTATGCCTTCCTATAGTTTCATTGCACATATTTCCGTTGAGTACCAGGATGATGTGTTATCCAGGTCTGGGGTGACAAAATTGCCCTTCTCATCTCAATAAGTCGCATTGGAGGATACTGTGAGGCATATCTATATATTCTGATACACTATGAACAATTTCATAACTTTTGCTATTAAGAGCTGCACTATCTATATTTTCCTAAGTAGTGTTTGATGAAGTTTGAGAAATGCGTCCTAGAGCGGAGGGACACCTGATGGTGTGCTTGAGAAGATTTCGATCAACTACACTATTAAAACTAAGTACATCCTTTAAAAAACACTGAATACCTATGTTACTCAAGCTGTAGGCCATTTAAATGTCTCCGATGTCATAGTTCAGCTGATGAAGCACTACATACATGGCCATGCGCAGCGAATCAGTAGAGGCTTTTTACCTATTATCTGAACACAACACTACTAAATGTTAGCAAGCTGATATAAGAAGAGCTTGTAAACATAAAGGTATCAAAAAAGTGCAGCAAAGCATAGATGTTCCACCCTCTAAGCTATGAGCTCATTGATGGTGAACTTGCTACACATGCCCTCTGTGAAACTTGCGCAGATACTGTCTCTCACTAATTATGAAGTCTAGGTTGTTGTTATGCATCCACTGACTGTAATCTCTAGTAAAGAACTATTGTTACTTTTCTGGATTTAATACGCCTGCGTTACGGTTGCTGTATGCACAAGTTCAATCGTCGCATATCAGTGCTGTGTCGGCAAACTAGACTCTATCGTCTGTAAATGGATGTACAAGCACGTCTCACGATTTAAACGCCTTAATGTTCGTCCCATCTCTAGAACTACATAGGCTATCAACTCACTCCCTGTTCTTAAACTTTTACACAGTCAATCATTTTACAGCGCAAGAAACACTATAGCTAGTTGAGATTGCGCGCAATCGCATGGAATGATGGCATCGCTGAACATCAATGGATAGTTCTAAAGTCTAAAAAACTCATATAAATCCCTAAGAAATAATTTAAAAGCTTAATCTCTGAAGCGTTGTGTAAGAGACGTAGCTTTCATCTTCGTACTAATTGGCCGCCCGGTGGCCTTGAAGCAACACTTGCCCGGATAAGCTTGAATAGAGGATGGAGCATTGTAAAACTTGGATATTACAGATATGACTATTATAAATATAAAACTCATCATATGTTCTGTCGTTCTCGTATATTCCCGTCATAAAGGGCATACAGATTGCGCAAATTTAGCAAGGCGGATGTTGAAGAGTGTTTAACACCTATATCCCAAAAACTTGAATACGACTACGGAATTAGCAAATATTTACTAATATTTACTAATATTTACTAATATTTACTAATATTTACTAATATTTACTACATACTATGCCAATGCGGATGATCGAGGACATGAAAGCGGCCTCGAAGTCTCATACGTAGAATGCTGATCCGCTAGTATGTCGCATATGGATTGTTGCGTCTTTGCGATATCGTCCCACGCTGCTTACTTGGTCATGTATAGCATGCTTCGTCATGTCCTAATGTCAATTTCATTTCAGCCATTGGTAAACGCGTTGTCTTACGAGATTATTTGCCTTCTGCAGTTTGTAGCTGCGGGACATGAAAAGAGCGTTGCGATTCACCCATTCCTTCTAAACAGGCGTATGTGCTTAAATATTTGGAGGATTCAATGCGACTTTTGGGTAATGAAATAAAAGCTGTCAAGACTCAAATGCTCTTTAGATGAAGTACTGATGATAGAGACATCGGACCTTTTCCTAGGATTCATTGCTCAAACCAGATTACGTCTGCTATCTATATATTCCCTACATGCTATATTATATGCCGTATTTCACCTACCACCAAGCTTCATTTCTTGCTTGATAATCCGAAATACGCAACAACAGCTATAACATGAATCTGAATAACCAAATAAGAAACTCTTATTTGCCCCTTCACGTAAAAATATGTGCAATGAATGGCACATCGCGTGGACGATGCTTCTATATAACAACCCGCAGACTCGCGTTAGCGCTAGTTAGTGCCTGTAGCCAAGATGGCCGAGTGGTTAAGGCGATGGTTTTAAGTATAAATATTTGACACCATTATCGAGAGATTCCAGGGTTCGAACCCCTGTCTTGGCAGTTACTTTTTGCGGTTTCTCAATGATGTGGTAATCTGATGTGGATGTGGTAATCTGAAATACATTTCGCCATGGGCGTAGTGGCTGGTAGCTTCTGATAGTGGACAGCGCGTAATTTTGCGCGGTTCCAAATAGCATGGCGTTAGTGCGGGGTTCATGGACGATTGGAAAGGGCCACAGGCCATCACATTTTCCGAATATCAAGAAAGAATGATAAAATGGAAATTTATTCAGTACCCTAATGCTGTTATCCGGCAATTAGCTATGGCGTGGGCTACTACTGCTACTACTGCTATTCATCTATTGCATCTACTATCTCTACTACATGCACCTTTACTATCTTTACTACTACTGATGCTCCTGATGCTCTTGATGCTCCTGATGCTCCTGATGCTCCTGATGCTCCCGATGCTCCTGACGCTATAACTTCTTCATGTATCTACTAGTTGCATATTTTAATACGCAGACTAACCGTCTTCATGTTATTAAGCTACAGCCGGGGTGCTGGATCATGAAAATAGGTGGCGGATAACTGTTCCCTAATAAATGGCAGTATATAATCGACGAAATCCCCTGAGCTCTAAGAAGTATTCATCCATCATTTCCTTACTACAGTAAATGAAACGAGATCAATATGCTTGACAACATACACGAAAGAAGAAGAAGAAGAGTAATGAACAGGCTTCTCATTCATGAGGATATTACGCCCTCGCATTTTGATGTTCTACAAGTCAATGAATAAGACATAAAGCGCTTCATTAGTTAAGTAAAAGGATCAAGATACTCCACTGCCAATAAATCCAAACTGAAACCATATAAAGAATGGACAATATTTCGGTTCCTAGGGTAGATATATCCTACGATACGAGGCACGAAATTGTAGGGTAAACAACTAGTTTATAGAACAGACCATACAAAGCGGGAATGTCCTATTTCTCCTGCTATCAATCAAGACTAGTAGCTAATTTATTCACGAGGAGCCACAAAAGCAGACTAGTTCGTAATTATAGAAAGGGGGCCAAGATATCTAAGAGTCAGTTTGACCATTGTCAGTCGAATCCCACCCGATGTTCATACGTCTTTGCAATCACTAGTATCAGTTATAAAAAGACAATTTCCTGATTCGATTGACCAGCGGGCTTCATTTTCCTCTTTTCAAAAGTCATTGGATAAAGTAAAAGTGCAACTGGCCACTCTTGCAGTTCATCCATACGATACTTGACTCTTTATTTCTAAAATTGCTATTCATTTGTAGCATTTAATACGCCGCGTCCTTCTTTAACAAATAGTTCATCGACGTAAATGAATTGAGCAATTATATATATATAGCTAGCAGATAAGCCATCACCCTTTGCAATAAGAGAAAAACGCCAATTTGTCCATGCCGAACTTGTCTCCCCAGTGAAAGATTCGTAGTACTGGCCCATACTCTGTATACTGCCTACTTATCACAGGAGCAGAAGCAAACTGTGTTTTGGATTGAAGCAAAAGAGATGGATCTTGGCCATGTCATGCAGATGAGCTGGTTAACTCACTTGGCCACGATGACCATTGTTGTAAAAGGGGACGAAATCTACAAAGCCATAAACCCCGTTTATAAGACATGAAAGAAATAATATTTCCTGAGATTCTGTGTATGATCAGAAAGGCCGTCACAAGATCAGTTAGAATACTAGGAGTCAAAGTTTACGAAACATCCTACGGGCGCCATACACAGCTATGCTCGATTATTAGCATGCTAGACAAATAGTTCACTTACCTCTTCGCGGTAGCCATTGCAGTGGAGAAAACACTCCGTCTCCCAGTTCTTCACATGAACAGCATATAGACCAAGCCACAGCACTACAAGAGGACATGTAGCTCCGGCAAAGACAGATACCCCAAACTTACTTTCAAGGCCATTAAAAACCCGTTTCAAGACCGTCAGAAAAGCCAAGAAAGCCAATATCTCGAACACGAGGCAAAAAGAGCAAAAGCAATTAGCAAACTCTGCACAAACAAGCGTAGAAAGCATAGAAAGAACAAATGGACGAATAAGTCGCATCCAAAATGACACGCCAGCAAAGATCGAGATGCAAAAGGCGGAAACCTTTCCATTTGCCACCAGCCGCGCGGAAACCAGGCCTTGTTAAAAAAGAGCAACTGCCCCGATGAGAAGCGACAGCCAACCACTTGTTCGAACAAGCCACGTTCACGCTCAAATTCCCTCAATAGGCAATTAGAAGCAATTAGAGAAAAACTCTCTTCGCCCAAGCGCGGCGCCTCCTTCGCTTGGGGGCCTCGTTAACCGTCTAGGGAAGAAGAAAGTTAAAAACCCAGGCTAGAAGGTTTCGAACAAATCGAGAATAAATGGTTGGATGGCTCGTAAACCAGATTGATTGTGTATTCCTCGCTTTAGTTTTTTTTTTTTCTTTTTTTTCTGCTTGGCTGAAAACGTCTCTCTTGACATTGGAGTCGTGTCACATTGTCATTCGCGTAACTCCAGCCCCCTTAATATTCTGACCGGATGTCTCCGGAAGCTGCATGCAGTAGTGAAATTGAGCTGTCGCATTGCATCCAACAGCCGTTCTCGTCTCAATTTCCCAGAGCATGGCTGTCGGAGTGGCTTGAAGCCACAGCAACAGAGCAGTGTCAGCGGCCCAAAAACAAGGCTCGCCCCATGAATCAGTGGCAAAAGCCACACCAAGAGAACAAATACAGGGGAGCTGTAATTAAAAATCTCGCCATTGGCTAATCACTTCAAGAGCAAGAGTCCACTCGGCGCCCAATCAGCACGTAAATGCAAGACAATAACGGTGCAGCTGAAAACGCAAAATTCGTGATTCCGCGCGGAATCCGTGCACGAGGGCTCAGCCGCGAATTGCCGAGCCCCAAGGCGTCGCGAAAGCCCGTATATGGTAGTCGCGCTACGATCGCACGGCCTTGGATTCCTCGTTAATTGAGTTCAGCCTCGTTTTAAACAGAAAATAAAAGCATCTCGGCGAGGCCTCAAAGCCCAAACTGGTGGCGATGATGTCGACCAAGTTTCCACATGGGCACGGGCTGGACCCATTGGGTCCTCTTCCCGACTGCTTGCCACCAGATTCATCTGCCAAAACCTGGGGCCCCGGATTTGCCATGACAAAGAGATATTTGCATCTCTTGCATCTTGGAGCATGTGTTTAGTCGATGGGGCAAAATGGAGTTGCCCAGATTCCAGGATCTCGCCTTTGCTCCAGGAAGTTGCAAGTTTGTACGTAATTGAAACTCCACCATGGGGAGGGGGTGAGCCGAGAGACGCAGAATGATCCCATCGCGAGTTTGTCAAGTCTGGCAACTCTAGTAAACGATTACTCCGCAAAAGTTGAAGTCGTCAATGCCGATTCTCCCTGAGCTTGGAGACGAAGAGGCGGAGGGGAGGCGCTATCGAATGGTCGCGGTGGAAGGGAGGCCAACTAGGAACAGCTCAGCTTGTGAAGAACAAAGAGCACACTGCCCAATTAGCTCTGATTTCTTACCGTCGCATTGATCGGATTAAGCTTGAATCAAGGTGATGCGTTTAGAATGGATACAGGTCCATTATAGGTATCATCTGCGTCGTAAAGAGGAGAGGATTGTCGTTCAGCGGTTGCGTTTCAAATGACCAATCCGCTCCTTGGCATAGCGGTTGATGCTACGCAAATGCACGAATTCTTTCCAAGATGTAAGATTGGGTGCCAATGCGTGGCGCACAGACATCCCGGAGCTCGATCCTGTCTGGACCAGGAGCATACTGCTGCTGACGGTTGAACGTCATGAGGGGTTTCCTCTCAGCTGCAATAAGCGATGGATGCTGGTGGAGCGATATTGAGTTGATGATTCCAATGAGGGGGAGACCAAACGCGCCATCTCCTTCAGCTTTGAGCGCTTAATGCTCGAGATTGCGGAGTAGCTCCCATATAGTAATACCTACTATGTAATAGACCAAGCATGGGAAGATAAACTGACGTTACTTGACACTGACTCGTAAAGATTTGACCAACAATCAAACGTGTCGCTGCTTCCCTGTCTAATCTTTCGGTCGAAGCGCGGCGGATCCTCTAAAAGGGAAGACAGGAACCCACCAAAGCGAAACAGGGTCTCGAGATATGGAGTTGACACATAGCCTTCTCGAGACGGGAGCGATTTGTTGATCGTGGCTAACTTCTGCCTTTTCCTGCCTTGCCTAGCGATGACTGTCATCACTTTAACGAAGGGCAAATAGCTTGCTCGCCCATCTCTCTAACTCAGTCGAGTCAAGACGCGGCTGCCCCGTATTAGACGCCGCCAGCTGATGATTATTGGGCACGAGGGCACCTATTGAGCTTATCAGCTCGGTCTGCTTTGGTATTAGCACCGTCATTCTAGGTGCACATAGACATGCCGAATCGCGTATATTTTGTACGAAGCGCTAGCAGAGGGAGCGGCGTCGCCGATCCTTGAGCAACGATGCCATTCGTCCATCTACCACGCCAGCAGAGGAGACCTAGCCAGATGAGGCTAACACTGGCCGGAGCAAGTATAAGTGAGGCGAGCATTAGTCCAGCATCCCAATAGCGTCGGGGGAGGTGGCATGAAGATTGCAAGGGCCTCCAATGGACCATGGTACAAAAATACAAGTATGTACCAGAGTATGGTAGCATTCTGCGGTGTCGTCTTCCGGGAAATACGGGGACCGTATCAAGAGGCATTAGTGCGTGTCTGGCCGATGACACCTGAAGCAATCCGTGCTTGGCTTGAGGCAGCTTGAGGCATCAGCTCTGCGTTCGGTGCTGTTTAGCCTCTTGTCACGATTCTAGAACAAGACAAAGGGCTTACGGTCACTCCTCGTTGACAGTTTTAGCCCGTCCTAAGATGCGCCCTCCGTGCCGCCTTACCCTACGGAGAATTTGGTGCTTTGCGGGGTGATTGGAATCGCCTTGGATACAGAGAAGAAGCGGCAGAAGGCCAGCTAGGCAAGGCACGTCCTGCAAGCTACCAAAGGGTGTTCCTGCGGGCGGCAAGGCAGTGCTGACTAGGCCGGTAGGTTAAGTGAGGCGCCGCAGATGCGATCCGCTCTTCTGACATGTGCTCGTCGATGTAGCATCAAGGCTATCCTCCCGATATCCATGCAACGAAAAACCGTTGAAAGAGCTGCTGCTGCTCCATATTCGAGGTCGAGACGTGATCCGAGCCGTGCCAGCGCAAGTGGGTAGAGCGCACGTGCATTGATGCCTCTGCGATGCCGAGATTCATCGTCTCTCCACTTGGCATGTGTTATCGCCCAGCTGTGGCTCTTCCTTCTTACTAACGAGTTGCGAGCCACTTCACCCCAGACTAGTCGAGTCGCATATGAGCTGTTCGTGGTCCGTGTGTACCGCCAAGTTTCGTATCTAGTGACAGTAGTATCCAAATACGCAGCATTTAGATTGATATCGTGGCGGAGAAGAGATATGAAAACGACGCTAATAAGCAGGAACAGTCAGTCATCTGCTCGAAGCATGGCGTAGAGGGGGGCAAACGAACACCAAATCCTCCAGCCAATCAGAGCCCCTGGGTTAGCAGCCCTTCTTGCCCGTATGTGGTGTCACCAAGGAGGAAAAAAACCTCCTGCTAAGAGCGCCATCTGGGTGTTTAATCAGCTTCTAGAAAAAATGTCGCATTCTAGTGCTGGCATTCGGTGTTGTGGCGGACAGCCCTCTGGTTTTGGATGCCTCAAGTGCCCTCGGCTATCATGAGGGAGGGGTCGTTTTAGCCAAAGGAGGCAGAAGGCATGGCGCCACAAGCTACGACGGTTGGAGAACGCTAAAAACATTCTAAATCATTCAAGGTTCTGGTTTCCATCTGGAGACTAACGGGAGTTGCAATTCAGGTGAATCGACCTCTTTTAGCAGAGCCAACGGTCAACGCAAGATTGTTATCGAGACCTGCATAGTTGTACTAGCGGCATGGCCAGTTTGCAGATACCCAAAGGGCTACTATAGGTAGCCATGAGTGGTGAGTCTACTAGCATCACTAGTGATACAGCAGACAGAACTTAGTACTCTGCGCCGCTTGTACCTGCAATCTAGGGACGCTGACCTGGATTGGGGTGCTGGGCGAGTCAAGAAACAACCATCGCCAGATCTTGGTGGTAGCGTCAAGCTAGACTTCACCCACCTGTCACGAGAGGCAAAAATGGCCATTGTATCTCCCAATAGCCTTGCTGAGGTTGATTTCACGTCGCTAGCGCGTAACCCTGATCGTACCTTGTACATTTCCCCAATACAGGCGAGGAAGAAGCGCTGCAAGGTTTGGGGGCAGGTATACCATGTGCGAGAAATTGGGCTGCTTGTAGGGGTGTAAAGAATTTGAAGCCTGCGGGCGACATGCTCGGATAACGACCGGGATGTTGAAAAGCACTTGACAATTGCGAGCTTACCGGATAGTACAGTAGCCCTTCCCTCCGGAGCAATGACACCAAAGAGAGCAAAGACCCCTGGAAAGACTGGGTCAGCCTGTTCGGTCAGATATAGATTATTGGCCCCTTCCTTGCCCTAGGCAGATAAGCAGCATTTGCTTTGTTCATCAGAGCAGGTACTGTAAGCTGTGAAAAGATGAGCAGCCGATCCTCTTCCTGTCCTTGAAGCAGCGGGCCTCTGTTGGCTCACGACTCGTGTTTGCCCGGCGACTTGTGAAATTGGATGATCGGCGATGATACCAGAAGGGAGCAGAGCGTGCAGAGGAGACAAGATGCGACCCGCCGTCGCTTCGGGCCAAGACGACAGCTTTGGGCCAGGAATGGCAGGTCAGCAGGGCAGAAGCTTGCTAGAATGCTTCATGGAAGCCCACATCGCCACCGGGAGGGCATCAGATCCAATGGGCGAGCCGCGAATAGTGCTAAGCTTGAACAGAGTAGATAAACCGGCTGCGCGGGGATGCAACCACCAACCACACGCTGTTGACCTATCATGGTGGGTGGAGGCCCAGGGAGCCAGGGTGTCGGTGTCTTGGCTTTGCTGCAGACAGACGGCGCTGAGGTTGTACGAGGCGAGGCTTTCAAAATGACGCCAGCAGCCGGTATGTGATCGGTGTACATGTATGTGCCACCGTCTTTGCTGTATCGGTATGAGACACGAGGCGAGGCAAAGCTGGCTTCTATCGGCCGAGCCGTGAACGAGCTGATGGGATTGTGGATCGATCACACGCTTATCGCTTGATGGCATGGCTGTCGGCAGCGAGGCTGTATACGAGTACGTACTGCAGCGGACGGTATCATGGAGGCGAAATCGAGCCATGTGGCGTGGGCAAACAGCTTGGAAGAGAGGGAGTGTGACAAGATGGCAGCCAGGCCAGCTGGATGGAAATGGAACCATTGCGGAGACGAGTCTGGTGATTTCTGGACAGATGCGTGAGCGATCTGGGTGCTGCGGAGTGCTGGAGAGGCCGGAGAGAGAGCTGAACGCAGGTTAACACGAGTAAGTTGATTTATTGCAGCCCAGCAGATGGCGTGAGACGTTTCTGGCGTCTGATGGCAGATGGCGATATGGAATGGACTTGATATCATGGAAATCATCGATGCATGAGTCGAGCGTGAGTCGAGTAATATGGAGTAGAGCAGGCAGGATTCTGGACGGCTGCAGCGAAAAACATGTGCCTGCGTATCAAACGTGCCCTCCACGAGGCCAAGCAGCTGTCTCTGGTAGTGATGGCTGCCATCTGGCCTGCGAATTCGTGCGAAGGCCATGTACCAGGTACAAGAGCCTACATGCGCTCCGATCGCCATGGCACTTGGCTGACAGCAAACAGCAAGCGGTGTGCGGAGTAATTCGCACTCGTTGTACCGTCAGGTAGCAGCAACAGACGCTGAAGGGCCAGGCACCATATCAGGGTCTCGCCGAGATCCAGGCAGAGACCCAGGCAAATGACACCCCGATTCAGATATGCATTGTGCTGGACATGCAGGTGCTGATGTACGTAGCAGTGATCAGCGTAGCCATGCGCATCGTCGCCACGAGGCTGCGTGCGCTACAGAATTAGAGTCGAACAGCAGCGCTCTCCCGTACGCTCTAGCAACCAGACGCCCGGAGCATCGCCAGATGTTGCGCTGCAACTCTACTCGAGTCTCTGCAACTCTGCAAGAGGCGCGCGCAGGGGTTGTCCGACGACCCAATTGGCGGGCTAGCCTTATTCGCAACCTGGGGCTTGGAGTAAATGTCGCTTGCGCCACTGCCCCGTCGCGCTAGCATCTCTACGCCCTAGCGCGGCACCGGAGACCACTGAAAGAAGGCCAGCAGCCACCAACCCCCAACTTCCCCGTAGAGACAGCGGGCTCCGAACGCTATCTGGTTCGCTGCTAGCGTCACGCGGCATCCACAGATAGCGGCAGCAAAACGATTTGATAATCATAATCGATGCATGGTGCGGGGGACATTGATAAACATGCCCAGGGAACGTGGCTCGCCAATATATGGTGCACGGGCTGCAGAGTCATGGTCCCCATCAGGTTGAATCCCTCTCTTGCTTTGCAGCCAAGCGCTCGACCTGCAATGCTGAAGGCGATAAGCACTGTGGAGAGGAAATAGGCACTCGTGCTAAACCCCCGAAATATACAGGTAGTGCCCAAGTAGACGCTGCTAGCACCATCGCTGGGACTGCCGCCTGGTTTCGGGCAAACACCAGGGCCAAGATCTGCACCACCAGACGCTCAATGCAGCGATCATTGGGGGAAACAGTCCAGAGGCAAGGGGGTGCGGGGCCTTCCCTCGACCGGGACCAGGATGCAGCACGCGC